ATATCTTTCTCAAACATGTGACTGTAAGTTCTAGGGTCATGCAACTACCATATGAATCTCTTAACATCTTTTATTCCTTGTCTTTATTGTATTCCAAAGAGGGAAAAACTTGATTGTGTCAAGCAAGTAAAATACAAGAAAGGAAGCCAACATAAAGGCAGTGATTAAAAGCCTAAGGAGATCACTGTTGTTATTCAACAATCACATAACATTAACATAGGACAAAATTGTTGCAATATGGTTATTAAACCCTCTGCTAGCTATAAAACATACAATGACATTTGGGTTCCATTGAAAGACTTTGACTCCTAAGAAACACAAACCTTTTAGCTGGTCTGTCCTCCCCTATCACTAAAATAAATTTTAGTTGCTGCCATTTGAAAAAGTTACCACTGTTACTCATCATGTATGAATGAAAACAGAGATAGATAACTATGAATACATAAATAAACACTTTTTCTTATAAAACCATACATTGTGTATTCAGATGTAATATATGTATCTAGATACATAAATAGTTAAATGATGATGCTATACCAGGATGAAATATGACAAAGTACCAGAAGTACTAATTCACACTTATGCAGGAAAACACAGGTGTGTGAGTGGTTCAAGAGAGGGGGGCCTACAAAGTGAGTGGAGGTATAGAGGGTGATACTATGAATATGGTTGTAGGAAACAGTACCAGATATATAAGTAGCCACTACATATGTCTCATCATAACCCTTTTAATCATCCTCATTTGATAGGACTAAAACCCTCTTTATGTTAAATAAAAAATTATTAGTCACCTAAGATAAAATCATTTTCTTTCAAATCATTGATATTAACAAAAACTGTCTGTTGGGTATAATGTCATTTGAGAGCATCATCTTTGCAATTAAGTGAACAAAATAATTAGACACCTGGATGGGGTCAGTATTTTACGTATTTAAGGTACCCACAGCCTATCATTGCGTCCACTTTTTACCGAAAATACATGAAAAAGGTGCAGTGGCTGTATTAACTCCTTTCGAAGCAAATGTATAAGACGGATTTCAAAATTCCTCATAGTGTTTATTTTAGAACGGGTACCATTGTGTACTATCATCTTCAACATAAAATAATTGATATTTTACTCATTTTTCTGAAGCTCAAAAATTGTAATGAAGTGCTCTTTACAATGCAAATGACCAATTTCAAATCAAAACAAATTTGCCAATCCAAATAAAATAATTATCATTATTTATACTTTTATTTTTTAACTTTAGTGCTTTGTACTTAGTACACATATAGACCCCTATATAAGCTACAGTATATGGAAAGCATTATTTATTTTTTGAAGAAAAATCTCACAAAATATTCCTTCATAAATCTTTGAGATTATCATATTTTCTGATATTGGCATAAAAGTATTCTTTGGACATTCACAAACTCATATCTACGTGAAATGTCATTATCAAATGCCGTATGCAAGATTGCAACAAGCAAAAACCCATACAAGTGTACCTGGTGCTAATTACCTGCATTCAAAGTTTACTTGTTGGCTCCTATACGAAATAATCCGGTTTGGGCTCTAACAGTGATTTGATAGTTTCCTCATTCATGTGTGTATAGCATAGGTTGACTAACTCAAAAGACCCTCTACCCCCCCTCCCCAAGTTCCAAAAGAACTAACAATAATTTGAGCAAAGAACAATATTTTTGTACCAATATCAGAATATAACAGAAAAATGTGGAATAAAATTGCACTCTAAGGTGAAGAACCCTAGAATTTAGTGTGTGTGTATATGTGTGTATATATGTGTATATGTGTGTATATATGTGTATATGTGTGTGTATGTGTGTGTGTGTGTTGTGTGTATGTGTGTGTGTGTGTTGTGTGTTTGTGTGTGTGTGTGTGTGTGTGTGTGTGTGTGTGTGTGTGTGTGTGTGTGTGTGTGTGTGTGTGTGTGTGTGTGTGTGTGTGTGTGTGTGTGTGTGTGCATATATATATTCATATATATCTATATATGTTTATATACATATCTGTGTGTGTGTGTGTGTGTGTGTGTGTGTGTGTGTGTGTGTGTGTGTGTGTGTGTGTGTGTGTGTGTGTGTGTGTGTGTGTGTGTGTGTGTGTGAGTGTGTGTGTGTGTGTGTGTGTGTGTGTGTGTGTGTGTGTGTGTGTGTGTGTGTGTGTGTGTGTGTGTGTGTGTGTGTGTGTGTGTGTGTGTGTGTGTGTGTGTGTGTGTGTGTGTGTGTGTGTGTGTGTGTGTGTGTGCATGCTTGTAAATATGCATGCATGCATGTGCATGGTGTGTGTCCATCTCAAAAGACATAGTTTTATATATACAGATATTTTTTTCCTGATTTTATTTGCAAAACAGATACATAATATTCACAGACACATTCATATATCAAAGTTAATTGACATCTTATGTAAAGATGAATCTGGGGAGTCCTTGAAAATTACTGAGACACATACATGATTAGATAAAAAAAAATAATTATGTATAATAAATACATTAAACCAACTTACCTTTCTCCTTGCAAGCTTGTGGGGGAAGCATCATCGTGTCTGCAACATATAGGCATGCATGAGCATTGCAATGAAGAAGTTTAGAGTGCACTGTATCTCTCCAAACAGCACAAGAAGGAGAAGTGAGTGATTGTCCATGAGTGTTTGGAAGCCTTTTCATTTAAGATAAAACTAATGAAGCAACATCAATTGTCTCATCTATTTTGGGCATTTTTATGGCCATACAAACTGCAATTTTAGAGGCTGCATCTTTCTCTCCCAAAAGTCTGGAGTGGAATATTAATCATCAATCATAATTTACAGAGCAGTCATTCTTTTTCTTTTTGTATGTATGGAGGGGGTAATTTTTCATGGAGATCTCTCATTGATAAAAGGTCAAGATAACACTCTCAACAACATTATTGGGAATAATGGGTCACAATCTTGCATTCTAAAAAAAAAAAAAAAGATCAAACATAATTTCTCCCTTATAAAGCTGATTTCATTTTACTTTATTCCATAATATGAAACAGTGCAATTTAATTGACATGAGTGACAGGTTTTTCATTCCAAATGCTACCACTTGACCCCCATCTGACCCTTAAACCCATCAATTCATATCTTTACATTTTTCATAAAGATACATATTTTTCATTTCTACTCTCCACAATATATTATGAACCAAGGATGAAATTAAGCAAATAACATAAATGATACATAACAACACTGCCCTACTTCTATAAAAAAAAAAAAAAATACTGTGGAAAAAGCTAGTAAAATATAATTCTAATTTCTAATAAATAAAGTATATATTTCTGCATCAGAGCTACATTAAGTATATAGCCTAGTAAAAGTTCTCCTTTAACATTACAGATGAAATTAAAACTGAGACTGTATTATTAACAGTTCAAATGTCTGCATAACTGATAAAAAAAAGAGAATTACTCTCAGACACAATATTTTTGGTAAAGGGGCATAATGTCAATAAAATGGAGATCAAGTGATAATAATCAGAAAGAAAATATCACAAGCTATAATGTAGACCCATAAAAAAGGGTATTGTTAAAATAAATTGGCATTAAAAAAAGAAAGGAAAGGAAGGCATAAAAATAACAAAAACAAGAAATACAAAACAGTACAATGACATTAATTAGCATATCACTGTGAAGCTGGTATCTTATTATCTTTATCTGACAAAATGAGTCTTAACTACTTTTAAGGAGTCAAGTTCAGTTCAGAGCCAGTTCATTCCCATTACTCCCAAAACATAAATGTAATCTGTAAGTGATATATAAACTACATCATGCCAATTTATGATTCCAGACAGTTAACATATGGTATGAAAAAATTGTTGCTTGGTAACTGGAAAAATATAACAGTATGTTGTCCCATGCACTATTTTGAGTCTTACTTTCTATAAGACTCAAATCTATTCAATTATTGGCAAACTAAGTAGCAGAATTCATTTTGGGTTGCAAACCAAAGTGCTTTGTAACTTTGGTAAGCATACATAATCACATAAGCTTCACAGATTTATATATCAAAGCATGTAGCATCTTCATCACTAAAATGTTGGTATCTTCTCTTCATCTACTGTCCCACAAGATGTACTCTGTGGTTAGACTAAATGCTAACTCCAAGTCACTCAGCTAATGGTAAAAAGAAAAAAATATCTAGTAATAATTAGTTATCAAATGTTATTGAAGTAGCTCATAAATCATGAGCTGTAATTCTCAAGAACTAAGTATCTTAAGCTGTAACTGGCTACTTTACCTTATCGAAATCTATGAAGACTTTCAAATCTTTCTACGTAAAAGAGAATTCTGAAACAAATTGAATTAACTAAAATCTACACTTTAGCCTGACATAAAACACATGTTTTATCTATAAGAAATTTTAGATTAAGGCATGAAAATAGCTGAGCTCCAGCAGTAGCACTTCTTTGCATTTTTTTAACATAAGACCAAGTATTATTTACATTTTCATTCTCTTTAATCATCACTTATAATCTTTTAACTGCATTATTAATTACTCTACTGCACAAGCTCCTGGACAATTTTCTCCTATAATTAAATTTCCTGATATAATAGCATAAATGCTAACTGGTATTTCTGTTTTACAGCTATTCTACATATCAATGCAGCCAACAATGACAGTTTGGCAACCCACTGTATCACCCATCTTCAAATTTTCTTAACCCATTGGATCCAAGTGAAAATATTTTGAAACTGCATAAACAAAAATGTTATTCATTACTGATACAGCATATCAAATAATGAATTGGAAAATGGCAAAAAAAAAAAAAAAAAAAATGAATAAAAAAAAATCTTGACACTGTCTAAGAGTGTTCTTATGTGCCCAAACTACCAGTCAGACTCAAGGGATAGTCACCAATCAAGTAAGCCTATGCCCATAGTTTGGGCCATGTACAGGCAGGGAAGCACACGGATCCAAGGGGTTAATTATTCAACCTATACCTTGGCTAAAAAATAAATTAATATCAAAACAATTTTTTGCATACTCCTACTTTCATATCTGAAATTCAACTAATCATAAAACAAATCACAGCCTTCCCTGAACATTTCATCACAGGAAAATTTCTATTTTGTCTTTCATGGAACTAATATATCTCAGCATCACACTTTTCATAGCCTCTAATAAACATTAATCAATTAATTAACTAATTACACTCGTATATAATATCTATATCTATATCTATATATCTATATATCTATATATCTATCTATCTATCTATCTATCTATCTATCTATCTATCTATCTATCTATCTATATATATATATATATATATATATATATATATATAAAATAAATAAATAAAAATATGCATTTAATTATATAATTATATACAAACAGACATATATATATCTACACACATATATATATATATATATATATATATATATATATATATATATATATATATATATATATATATATATATATATATATTCATACAGTTGCGGAATTATATTTCAGTATACTTGCTGGGTCCCACTTTTGTACATCTGGCAGCCACTTCGATGTAAACATAGAGTGAATAGTATTTTTATGAATGGGGCGAAAACCCCAGGTTGTTTGTAAGAAAGTGTGATTGGTAGAATATAAATGACCAACAAGTGTATTAGTATTTATCTTTGGAAATTATGTGGGTCATTTCATCCTTCGTTTTCTTCAAATAAGTGATAGCAAAATATGTAGTATTAGTTATTATCCACTTTGCACTGGGATATTTCTCAAATCTGAAGTTTGTATTTTCGAAATGGCAACACCTCTGGAGATGAGACAGCATTCCCCCCTTATTTCAACATAGCAAGTATCAATTATAACTGCACTTTTCTTGTAACTTCAATGCTTTAAAAATATACGTACTGCAGCTGTATCAAATAAAATTCTTCAAATTCGTTGATACCTTTCTAAATGGTTTTGTAGCTGCACCATCTAGCAACAGCTAATCGAACAAATGAAGGAACTGTTTTTTTTCACCTAAACCAAACACCAAAACACTGATTCAATAAACAAAAAGCATGCTACATTATACTTTTCATTATAGAACATTTGCTGAATGCAAAAATCAGTAGGGCTACAATGAATATGTAGATATTTTCACTGTGTGCTTGTGTGTGTGTGTGTGTGTGTGTGTGTGTGTGTGTGTGTGTGTGTGTGTGTGTGTGTGTGTGTGTGTGTGTGTGTGTGTGTGTGTGTGTGTGTGTGTGTGTGTGTGTGTGTGTGTGTGTGTGTGTGTGTGTGTGTGTGTGTGTGTGTGTGTGTGTGTGTGTGAGCGTGTGCGTGTGCGTGTGCGTGTGCGTGTGCGTGTGCGTGTGCGTGTGCGTGTGCGTGTGCGAGTGCATGTGCGTGTGTGCACACCTGTGCACGTGCGTGTATGCATGTGTGTGTGCAATATCTATAGAAATACAAAGTCAATATTTGGTGCTGAATAGCTAAACAGTATGTTTAATTGTTTTCAATTATGCTAAATGCTTATCTTGTGCTAAAATCTGACCATAATTTTCGCTATTATTATTCTGTAAGTCGTGGTGTTTCTCTGAGAAGTCGCATTCGATCAGCTGAGCAAAAAAATACACGTTTGCTTCTTTCAACTCTGGCAACTACTGTGTGGTTCCAAGGAAGGTGAAAAACAGGTCTAAAAACTTACTCCCAATACATGTACTGTATTATATCTGATATCTTGTTAGAAAAATCTTATTCATTCTAATAAAATAGTAATTAAATCTCACGCGCAAATTTTATCTGACACATATGCTATTTATATTTACCTTGTATTTGTCAGTGCATGTCACAGCTTTGATACATAATCATAATATGTTTACTATAGAAAAACTCATTTCCCAGTGTGTAAGAAGGGCAGCCTGAATGACCGCCCTTGTTCCGGAAGCCCCTTCACCAATGTAGCTAAAAACCATATAAAGACCTGCAGCTCCTGCAAACAAGCTACATGGTGAAGGAAACAACAACATGTAGATGGGATTCACCACAGAAAGTTACCAAAGCGAAGCTGAACTAACTAACTCCAGTTCACCCAGCAGTGTGGAAGCTCAATTGTTGGATGAGAAATAACAGGTGTAAATATCATTATCTCTTTCCAATTTGTTTACAGAGTGTTCTTTATACATGATAGTGTCCTATCCATTATATTTTATATTTATGTTATAGAAGATAAAAGAATGAAGCATTTTCGTGTTTCAAGAAATATGCAGTTAAAACTGGAAATATGGGGTTGAAAGAAGGGGGACATACTGCCTCACCTCCATAGGTGTTGCCATGCTGATAAACAGGCAATTTCAGGAAATTGCATTTTAAAAACTATACCTCTACAAAGTCAACGATAGCTAATACTACATGTTAGTCACTTGTTTGAAGGAAATAAAAGATGAAATGGCTTACATAGTTCCCCAAAATTGTAACATATAGACTTGTTGGTCATTTATGCTCTACCAACAACACTTCTTGTTACAATTGGCCTAGGGTTTTTGCCTCATTCATAAAAATACAATTTACTCTATGTTTACATCGATGTTGTT